TGTAGCAGAACAAATAAATGACCCTGCTGAGCGGCCAGCCACTGTGCAGGCAGCACCTGTGGGGCTGCAGGTGTGGGGGAAGAGCTGGGCCTGTGCCTGTCACGAACAAACAGGTTTGACACGTCTCCCTCAGAGGAGGGACTGGTGCCTGGAACCACGCGCCTGCCCAGGGGCTGGGAGCTGAGCTCTGCCAGGATGAGAACGTGCTCCACCGTGTCGGGGTGGGCTCGGAGGGGAGAAATTCCTGCCAGGGGTGGGTTCCTGCCCCAGCAGCAGTGATGCTGCCCTGGCTCCCCCTGCACGAGCATCCCCCAGTGCCTGCGATGCAGGGCCCCAGCGCTGCCCAGGCTGAGCCTGCAGCACAACTGGATCACCAGGGCCAGAAGCCCCAGGACCCCTGGGCAGCATCTCGCAGCCAGGGGGGATGTGCACCCTCCTGTCCCACATGCAGCACCACCTGACCTGCTCCAGGCTGCCTCTGGAAACCATCTGTCAGTCTGTCCATAACTTACAGGACTGATTGACTCCAGCGATGCCCAAGCACCTGAGACACGGGCACACAGGGGGCAAGGGGCTGTGTCACCCTGTGCTCTTTGCTGTCCTTAGATTCCAGGTGAGAGAAAGGAATTGGCCGGAAAATGAGGCATCCCAGCACTCTACAAAGCCCGGGAAGGCAGCATCCCTCTTACCTGCTGTAGTGACAGGAACCACAGGAGCCAGAGTGGCTGAGCAAACCCCCAGGAACCAGCAGCCAGGCCCAGGACTGCGGGTTCCACCTCTAAACACCCACTGGGGGCTGAGGGGCTGGTGGGGGGGATTCAAAGGGTCTCCCCTGGGGCAGGGGACGTTTGAAAGCTCCTCTCTTGCTGAGTGCAGATTGTTGTGTTGGGGGTGTTTGAGCAGGATGCAAAGGGGAAAAAAAGTGAAGTGGGGGGAAAACCAATCAAATTGAAACAGAAAAATAGCAAAAGCAACAAAAAGCCAAGCAAATTCTGCAACAGACCTGATGGGGGATGAGTCGCTGGACGTGGAGGAGGTGGGCATAGGGCTGGATGGCGCGGAGAACATGGGCCAGGACGGTGAGAGGGGTGACGTTGGGCTTGGATTCTGAGGGCTGCAAGACATAACCAGATACCTTATCAACATGCAACCACAGAAACGAACGGCAACCCAGAGACAGTCAGACGACATCCGACGATAGCGAGTGCCTTGGGAATATTCAGAGCATGAGACACAGCTACGAAATGAAGTGCCAAGACCTTGGGAAACGTTTCAAGGCCAGATCTGCATTTCTCTGGACAACAAGAGCTGGATCTTCCAATTAACCCCTGCTCCATCACCCCACCCGGCGAGCTCAACACGCTGGGTGCAGAGGGCTGTCTTGCTGCTGGCAGCCCAGCCACTTACCTGCCTTGTTTGATTTCCCCCACTGCTGCCAGAGATAGTTGGTGGTATTTCTGGAGGTGAATGATGCCCATGAGCAGCCTCCATCCCCCTTTGTCTGCCAGTTGTTGCAGTGCCAGGGGCTGGACCCTGCCCGGCCACGGCCACGTGTTTACGTTTCCAAGCAAGCGGGTCTGGGAGGTGGGGAGCCCAGAGGAGTTTTTTATCTCCAGGACAGAGCCAGCCAGGGCTGGCATTTCCATGCCTGAAGACAACCAGCAGGAGAACATCTCCAGCTCACACCAGCCCTGAGGGTTAGCAGCATCTGAGGGCTCAGGACTCTGGCTGCCCTTACACATCCAGCACTATAAAAATCTCATTGATTTGTTTTCCACATCTCACACCAAAGAACTCTTTTTCCCCTTATGCAAACTGCTCTTGAGTCCTCACTTTGAAGCTCCTGCTGTCATCTGAGTTTGAAGCAAGCTACTGAACTAGTAAATGCATGCAGAAGCCAAGGAAGAAGTGTTTGGTTCCTTCAAAACTGTTCGATTTAGGTCATTTTCAGGTTCACCGAAAAGCAATTACTGTGCTAAAATACCAATTTGAGTCTGATTCATCTTCTACTGTTTCCACGCTTAGCAGCTCATCTGTATTCCCTAACTCAGGTTGTAAACTCCTGATAAAATGCCAGAAAAACCTCTCCACACTGAAAATGCCTCTGTAAAAACAAGAAGCTTGGCAAAAGCATCACCATTTATGGTTTTTCCCCAAGAAAGGGCTGGTACTCACAGGGCTGTGATGAGGTGGGCATAGGGTGTGACCCCACAGGTGAATATAACATTTTTCTTCCATTTCAAGCTGAATGTAAAACCTCAACCTCTATTATTTTAAAAGAACTCATCTCCCCAACATCCAAGAGGGTCTCCAAGAAATATTCAAGATTAACCCTGAATTTTTTTCTTGTCATCTTCTTCCCTTCAGGCTGAGTTAGAATTTACCAGCTTAAAACTAAAATGTCACTGTCCTAGGACCACCTAGGGCAGGTCACTCAGAAACTCACCCAGATGGGTCTTGAAAGTCTCCAGAGAAGGAGACTCCACAGGCTCTCTGGGCAGCCTGTCCCAGGGCTCTGTCACCCTCACAGGAAAGGAGTTTCTACTCATGTTGAGGCAGAACTTCCTGTGCTCAGGTTTGCATCCATTGCCCCTTGCCCTATCAAAGGGCACCACTGAAAAGGGACTCACCTATTCTTGCTACTCACCCTTCAGACATTTACAGACATTAATAAGATCCCCTGCTCCTCACAGAAGCTGTGTCACTGGATTCAACAGAAACTAAGGATTTCCCTTGGTAATTCTGGGCAATACCTTTATTACATCAGAAGGTGACATGAGATACAGCAGCACACCACAACCCCCACAGGAGGGATGTAAGAAGGAAGGTTCACAGACAGACTACTCACAAAAGCCTCAAATATTCTCCTAATAATTGTCAGGGTTTAAAAACCATCTTTTTTTGCATTTTTCTATCATCAAAGTTGTCAGTCTTTTGAAAAATGAGTAATTATCTGTATTACTGAGTCTTTAACAAATCTGTTAGACATTGCTACTTACCATACAGCAAAGCTATTTCCACCTGCAAGCAGGAGGTGCTGCAAAGCCCACCGAGCTACCCCAGAGTGCAGACATTAACCCTTCAAGCACCAGTTCTTGCTGCTTCTTTTCCTTTCTAGCAGGTTTTCTGCTCATGCGTGATGATGTCCTACCTTCCCTTAACACAAGCAGCTACAGAGCAGAGAGGACAGGTAATTTGGCTTTATTTTACCTGTGCACAGACATGCTTCTGCCCTCTAATGGAGAGAGCACGTTCGATTAATTTGAAGATACGAAGGGTTCCCTCCTTTGGGCAGCAGGAACTAGAACATTTCCTTCACTGTCAGTTCTGCAAGAAGAGCCATTATTTTGGCAGCCAGAGCCTGTAGGTTGCAATACCTGCCCACCATCTCAGGCCCTGTTCAGCTAAGCTGCTACAGCAAGCCTTGGAGATGGTAAAAGAACGGTGAACGGAAGGTGAACGTATGGGTTGATCACCCAGAAGGCAGAGGACCTGCTAGGTGTGCCTTCCATCTTAACATGGTCTCTCACCATTCATGTGGACTCCTCCATCCTGCTGATCTCAAAAAGCTCTTAATCAAGATGCACGTTACCTGCTCTGTGTATGGATTTCCTGTAGGCAAGGAACACAGGAAGACCTGCTGGCCTCCAGCCCTTGGCTCCAGCCAGGTTCCTCTCCACTGAACCATCTGCAGGGCAGGATGAGTCCCAAGACAGCTTAGACACCTCTGGCCATCAGCCCATCTTTCTACTGGTTAGAAACCCAGCAGGCAACAGGATCTAATGAACCACAAAGGCCTCACCTTGGGGTAGGAGAGAGCAAATGAATGGCATGGCAATGTTCTTCTCAAAGAGGAACTTGGCCCATGGTCAAGAAGGGGGATGAGCTGGTTAGCAGAACATGGCTGGGCTTGTCTCCCTGAGAGCAGCCACTGACACCTTCCAGCCCCCTGGAGGGCTCCTTGGGGGGCAGTGGGCTCCAGGTGCAAGAGGACACCTGGCTAGGGTGCCTGCCTGGTGGGACAGCCACCACGTCCACTGCTGACCCAGGTCCTCCACACCACATGATGGAAGGACTGCCCAGCCTCACAGGCCTCTGGGACTAGAAATTCCCAACGCACTTTTTGAGATGAAATCATTTGATAAGAAGGCAGCTCTTGCTGCTCCTGAAGCTGGCTCTGCCATGGTCCAGCAGAGCCCAGCCTGGCAACCCCCTGCTCTGAGTCCAGCAGCCACGACCACGCTCAGGGAAGAGTTATTCCCATGGTGGGGAAAAAAGCCTGATGGCAAAAACTGGCACTGAGGATGGCCTCTATCTAAGAAGCCATCAATAATCTGGAGTAGGATTTTGGTGTCTTTGGATCCTTGATGGGAAGGAAAACGCTCTCCAAGCCCACCAAGAGAAAGGGGAGACCTGCTAACTAATGCCAGAATGTGGATTTTTAACTGCCAGGGCCAGACAGTTTCAATCAGAAGAGATTCATGTGGTCCTGTGATGACTGAGCTGCCCCTGCTCTGCAAGCCTTTCCAGCACATCTCCTCTAGAAGAATGATTGGACATTTCAGGACCCTGCCCTGCACCTACAGACCACGATGTGCACAAAGGGTCCCTCTCCCTTCCGTGAGATGAAGGCATCTGTTTTCAAGACACTGCTTGAGGATCACATTTCTGAGCTTATCTGGCTGCAGGACCAGAGTCCAGTCTCGCTGGAGAAGTCAGTGCTTGTGAGCAAACAGACCATTCTGAGGTCTCTGCATTTTGGAAAACAGTTTTCTGGTAGGATCCAGTTTCCTTTCTGCTTCTCACGGAAAGAGCAGAGGTGGTGAGAGGCTCTGGGGAGCTGTTGGCTGCTGCCTGCAGAAAACAAATGTCATCTTGGACCTTTTTTTTTTTCCCTTCTTCTTACTCTGGAGAGCTTTGTGAGGGGCTCTTCCTGTTGGGTGCAGAGTGGGAAACAAAACAAAACAAACAAAAAGAAATGCTAAGAACCAAAAATACCAGAAGAAGGAAACAAAGAAGTGGCTAAAATTAGTGTCTTCTGAGTCAGGTATGGACTTCTCCCCAAGCAAAGCAGCAAGAGGCAACTTCATGAGTCTGTAGCCTGAACATGTGAAAAAAGCAGCAACTCTTGTTCCCAGACTCTGGTGTCCTCTCCAGTTACTGTAGCTAAAATACCTATTTTTCTAACCCCTTCTCACCACCTCTCACTTTTCAGTTCCTCTCTCTCTGATCTGCCTGCCCAGGCTGCCTCTGGCACCTCATTCACACAGCCCAAGCCCTCCAGGCTCCTGCAGGTCTGAAGAATGACTCTCAGCAGGGTTTCTAGACAACTTCTGCTGCTTTGTTCTTCTGGATGAGAGGCCATCAGTTCCACTTCAAAAATGTTTACAACTTGTTGATTATCTTTGTAGAACTTGGGGCTATTTCTGACACAGAACATCTAAGAGCTATGAATGGGCACAGTGATGATTTAAAGCCCTTTCATGAAATTACCTCAAAAATAAAGAACAATATTCCCAGTCTGACTTTACCAATACCTGACTGCATTAAAATACATTAAAAACCACCCAAACCTTGAACTCCTGTTCTGTTCCTATAAAACAAAACTGCAGAACATAAGATTCTACTCCAAGCTAACCAGAAAAAAAATCAAACACAACAAAGAGGACTCCAGTACCACGTCAAGCCAGGGCACTTACACTCTGCTAACACCAGGCCAAGCTGGCAGCTCAGCAGCAGACACAGCTCTGTGGGCTGAAGGAAATGGGAGGCAGCCTTTGGTGGAGAAGCTGATGAGGTTCATGCAATGCTGCAGATCCTAGTGAAGCTCAGGGTGCAGATCTGGAGGGGCTCTGGCCAGCAACTCCCCAGGCTCTGCCTGCACCAGGCATGGCCCTCAACATGCCCATTAGCTCACAGGGCTTCAGGCTGGCAGGATCCTTCCTTTGGTTCTTTAAATGCAAGGAAAATGATGCTAAAGCTCTCCCCAGTGTTATTCTCTCAGGAGTTATCTTGCTGCATGGTCATTCAGGTGGAAAACAGTGACACACTTAGGGAAATAAGCAGCCAAAAGGCATCACAGTCAACATCACCTGACCAAACAGGTGAAAAAAA